GATATTCTCTGCTTTCAGCCAAGATCCATCGACATCAGCAATGATATTTCTCGCTCAACAGCCTCTTCTGAATCTGGTAGTTTAGTGGTTACAAATTGGGTTGCTAATCTCACAGTCAGCAGTTTGAAACTACCAGCTGTCCCACGGGAGAAAGATGAGGCTTTCTGCTCCTGTCAAGATTTACAGCCTCGGAAACCCTGTACAGGGTTGGTTTATAACAAGTTCATGGAAGAGCCAGCACTCAGTCATAGTTTTAACACACACACTACTGGTAGGTCCTTTCCCTGTTCCCAGAGCAATTCATATTTAACAATGTGAAAAGGAAGTGCCATCATATGAGGGGCTGCAAAGAGTTCATGGAAAAATGGAATTAAAAGATAATGAAATTTTTCCATGACCTTTTTGAAGCCCTTCATGTATTTCAGCTGGAGTCCTCGTTTTGCACCACAGGATAAGCACTTGACCTCAATGCTGGCAGTTCTTACTCACCAGCTGCTCCGCGGAGACCCTGTACAGGGTCACTATGAGTCGGAACCAACTCAACAGCACTTAATAGCTGTTATCTAGAACTTGGCTTTTCTACACCCACACTTATTCTGTTCCCCATGGATGCCCTGCCGAGACCTTTTTCTGTCAGCGATGCTCCCACGCTCTCAGACTCTTAGAGGTGTCTCCCTCTTTGTTATCAATATTAAACCTGTTGCCAAGCCCTGTCAGCTTTTTAAAACTAAGAAGCATTTGAAAGATTGGCCCTTTTCCTTTCCCTCCTTTAAGCCTGGGTCCTTTACCTCTTGTTCTGCCACCTAGCTATAACCAGGTACCACTGATGCCAAGGCACTGTGCTCACCATTGCCCCCCATACCTCTGCTCCTGTTGCCTTATTGTTAGGTGCCACTGAGGTCAGTTCCAACTCAACAACCCTGTATAGAGTTTCCAAGGAGCAGCTGGTGACTTGAACCACCAACCTTGTGGTTCTGACCTAACCAACCTTGAGGTTGAGTATTTATCATAGGGCACCACACCAGGATGCCTGCTCTACTCTTTTTTTTTTTTTTTTTAATGTGTTATTGTGAATTATGTGATAGTTTACATGGGAGAACATTAGTTTTACATTCATTCTATCGTATATCAGCTCATTGCCATAGTTACAATCCCCTCCATGCAATCCTTCCCCTGTACCCCACAGGTCTTCAGCACACAGTCGCTCTCCCTCTCTGGATCTAAAGTCTCCAGCTGCTCCATCGCTCTACGTCATCATCTC